TCAAATGAGCAATATGAACTTGACAACTAGCCAATGTCCGCACTTTTAGAAAGACAAGAAGAGAAAATATGATCATGATGATGATTGGCAAACTTTCGATAAGAACTGACAAATGAAATTGAGAATAACATTAAGCAAATTGTCAATTGACGAAGTTACATATGCCAACTGATGAATCATAATGAGGGTTGGACCAATTTCCGATTGGTGAGAAAAATGAAAAATTTAAGCAACAAGTCGGATTCAGGTCAAAAATGGGCGTTTCAAACATATAAATCATTAAGATAAGAAACAAGATCTTGGAAAAATGAATTTAACTATGAGAAAAATTCTTTGTATCGATCACTTATTCACATACTTTGTCAGCGATAAGATGAAAATCCACATGAATAAACGTAGGATATCTTTGGCCAGGATTCAAGTATTTCCTCTCGTAATTCGCTATAAAGCCGATTCCAACTTAGCTTGTACTGGTTCCAATTAGAACTCGATAAGCTCTATAGATATTGTTGTGTGGCGATTTTTCTATTTACTTACTTCGAGTGCTGTCAAGGGTTCCTAAAACATCTCAAACCTATACGGATTACTGTATGTAGTGAAACGGACAGCGCATTCTTTTCTTTTGGAGAAATGATCGAGAATGAAGAAAACAGCTATGTGTACTCGACTATTGACTGAAATATTATAAACATTATTATTTGCGCACACTATGCCGTGATCTCTCGACACAGTTTCGATTATTTGTCGCTAAGAAAGAACGGCAAAAGTCTATTTCATCTTATCTTGCAAATGTATACAGAGCAGAACGAAAAATTTCACAACGTAAACAAAATAGTGCATATTTTCGTAGTTCGAAATGACTACTTCATGTGATGTTCGCGCTGCCTCCAATTGTTAAAAATCGACTTGCTTCAGGATAAATCAATTGTCATTCAAGGCTCTGCATTATAATAACAAGCAGGAAACAAAGAAAATAGTAAGGTTTATGCGAAGATTCAAGTCGAGGAAATCTACATGTATATATATACCATTGGAAAAAATAAGTTTTCGTCGGTATTTTGAGGATATTGTTTTATAAGAGACTAATCGGCGAAAAAAGAAGTCAAGTGTAATAAAACGAGCTACATCACGAGATTCTTCGACACTGAATTCAATCATTGTCATCTAGTACAGTTTTTTTGAAGACCTTTTTAGCTTTAGAAATACTTTTTAAAAAAGCTAATTATATATTCTGATAGAGCTTGAAATACTTTATCACTCTATGTATTTATTCACCATTTTGCATTTATGTACCAGAGAATAAATCGATTATTATGTCAGCATGCTCCTTGACAGGCTCTAAATGGAGGTAGTTTGGGGTGTGCGGTGTTGGGTGTGAGTCGGTGTGGGTGTGTGTGTGAGTGGGGTGTGGGTGTGGGGTGTGGGTCGGTGTGGGTGTGGCTGTGAGTGGGGTGTGGGTGTGGGCGTGGGTGTGGGTAGGTGTGGGCGTGGGTGTGGCGGTGGGGCTGGGGTGCGTCTGAGTGTCAATTGAATGCAGGTCTATACTCACACTCACACCCACACACCCACACCAACACCTATCCATACCCCACACCCACACCCCACACCCACATCCACACCCATCCACACCCACACCCATACCTACACCCACACCCACATTCAAATCTTGGTCGAACTTCATTAACAATTGCTTTATAAAACAAAAACAAAAATTATAATTTCTTTTTGTTGAATAAAATTTAAAGAAACAAATTAATTACTTTCTAACACTTGGTTTTTCATGTGTATCATTTTTAATATATTTTATATATTTTGATTTAATATTAAGGTAATTTTGAAATTCAAGTAAATCAATACAAAAAAAAAAACAAAACAAATGATAAAATTTTTTAAAAATTTGTTTTCATTTCCTTTATTTGAATTTACTTGATCACGATTAATATTTAAGCTAATATCATCTAAATCAACTTTAATATCAAACATTGGTCGTTTAAATTGTTGTTGATGTGATTTCATTACTAATATAATCCTTCCTTTGATATTTAGTAATCGAAGAACTAAATTTTAATTATTTTAAATAATATCAAAAAATAAATAAATAATTTACGATATGATATATTAGTGGGTGCTTGTTAATTATTAACTGCTATTCTTTGTCTTAGATTTTTCTATATTTAAAGAAAAAATAAAATACCAGAAAAGAAAGATGCTTGACATACAAAAGCTTCATCTCTTGATAATCCGGATAATGATTGAGCATTAATATTTCCATAAAAACTGATAAAGCATTTAAATCACAAACCTTGAAAAAAAAAAAAATTCTTTTTATTATATAATTCCTACTTTAATAATAAACCTATCGAATAGTACAATATTGTTTAAAAATTATTGAACTCTTTCTAACTTCTATTTGGATTTTTTATCAATATCTGATTTATACATATATTCGTATATTTCCTGATTATTATATGTAATGTATGATATTAAAGCTTGTATTTGAATATTAGAGTTAACATTTCATTTTCAGAAGCTGACATTGACTAAAATCTATTTTCCCTTATCATTATAATAAGAACATAATCTCAAGATGTATTCATCGTGCGTTGAAACTAGAAATGAAATGAAACCGTCTTGTTTTGACTATTAATAAAAGATGTAAACATTTACTAGCATTCGTATTTTTGACGAAAACTTAAATAAATATGGCAAATAAGAGTAGTACAACATCCTACCTATACAAACACTCCACTAAGTTAATGACACGATATAATTAGATACATCACATCTATAAGTTATCTTATAAATCTATTCCCCTTCATAGTTTAATTGTCTGAGTGTTTTTCACATACTTTTCAATTTTCTATCAACATCAAAATGTTATCAAATGCTAGAGATTATTAGTCATTTTTGATTAATACTGGTGGTGGTGAGCTATGAATGATAATATGTTTATGAGATAATACAGTATTCATCAAAAATATGAGACCAATGTATTTTTGGTTTTCTTCTACGATATCTGATATTTAACTCAAAACCATATAGTGATTTGAATAGCCAATGAAGTTCTCTATCAAATATTTTTCATACCGAAATTTCATATATGAATTATGAGAGGAAGACTCATGAGAAATCTAATACGGTATGCACAAAACCTGGAATAAAATGATAGGTCATCGCATTTCTTACGATCTGTCCTTAAAAACTTATAACAACCACAAAATACAAAAACATGCAGTCTTTAAAGGCGATTTTCAGTAATTCTATAATAATTTTCGCCTTTTCCCACATTTTTTATGATGCTTATAATGTTTTAAAGGAAGATCGTAGGAAACGTAGTGACCACTCATTTTATTCAGAATTTTGTGCTTTTTTTAAGGTAGTATTCTTGAAAATCAATTTTTATATAATATTTTGGGATCTGAATTCTTTTTCTTTGATAGTTCATCTATGAAATTTTAGTATAGTATGTATTCGATAGAGAACTTCATTAACAATTGAAAACACTGATTAGATTTGAATTAAATGCTTGGTATCGAAGAAGAAAAATTAAAAAGACATTGGTTGTATATTTTTGACCTAGTACAGTAGCTCATAAATATTAGAGAATATTTGTATCTCTAATGGAGAACATTATTTGCTGGTTTAATTTATTTTCAGACATCATCTGATGTTACATTATTAGGAAATTATTTGTAGCATTGACATACTATTGTCTATTGTATATAATATAAACTAGCAAGTATCATTAATTGTGAGATACTCATTATATTGAAAAATAATTAATCATAAGAAAATACCTGATAAAGGAAACAACCTGTCATATTCATTTGTCAGAAGTTCGTTATTATCAATTAATATTCTTTTATAATAAGTATTATGAGAAAAAAACATTAAAATACAAAAAAATCAATGTTTTACTTTATGAATCAGTAGTATATCTTCTTTAAATATTGTTGGTAGATACTCTGAAGTTGTTATCTAAAAGAAAACCGAAATTTTCAATTGAATTTTAATTATTCGACAATCTTACATGTAATTTTATATAATTAAGTGTAAATCTAAAAGCAAATGGATGACTAAGTTTTATTAATGTATCTTCATAGACAACATGAATATTTCGAATAACTTGTAATTGTATACGTTCGATAAATGTATTATTATTTTGATCAGATAGTTTAGCATTTTCTTTATTAAGAAAAGATTCAAAATTAGTAAAAATAATTTTTCTTTTTCTTTTTTACTTAGAACTTCTTGCTCTTTGTGTAGTTCTTCGATTTGACGAATTT